TTATTTTGCATAGAAATTTGCTTATAACTATGATTTTCATTATTTAATGAAATATCTGTTAACTAGGTACTTAAACTATTAATTCGGACAGAAACTAGATAATTTTTTTGTGTTTTTTGGCCCATGTATGGCCGCCACGCCATCTTGAATGTCACGTGGTTTGAATTGCCTAATGACGAGTGACTTTGATGGACTAATGGAGGTTGGAGGTTAATGTTTATCGTAATTAATTACAAATTTGGTTACTTTGGTCAGAGCAAACTATCGATAGTTACTATCGATGGGTAGGCCATTCTATCGATATCACTATCGATAGTTTTTTTTTCGATAGTTTGTCAACCCTAATATACTGTATTTTCTCCCAAGATAGATTTTCACTTGACACTGTCAACTTTGAAACGTAAACAATGCCGCTTATTGGTCGCAAGATGCCATTTGCACCTCATGCATTGTAAAACTGATTACAACCTGCAGGGACACCTCGTTTTCCGACCAATCAGGGCCAAGCGTTATTGTTTAGGTTTCAAAGTTTTCAATGTCAAAATCCACCTTGAATTCTCAACACAATAAGATTTTCATCCTCAAATCCTAACTCGTTTCGACGCTTTACAGCCAATCGACGGACTTCGGCATCTTTCAGTATAGTCTATCGAAAGTCAAATGAGACAAGGCAAAAATTGGGGTCTCTTCAAATTATCGTATTGCCCGTTAAAATTATTATACTATTATTAGGAAAAATATATTGAGCGTGCCCGTATACATTGGATGCGAATCCACTTGCAAACAACGCATCTTATTGGTTGTTTTATACAGTCAACGTTGACTCCAGGAATATCTTATTGGTTAGAATTTTTAGCGGCGTTTTTCTTTGAAAAGGCGGCTTCTTTGGCGGCATATTTCTTTGTAGTGGCCGCCGCTTGCGATTCAGTTTCGTCTGGAAAGACAGTGCAGTAGATAGTTTTTATAAATTTGATTCCTATTTGAGTTGTATCGTGCCTCATGTTTTATTTTATATAAAACTGTTTTAATAAATTTCCCTTACTCCGCCGGTGCTTCATAAAGAAAACGCCGACGGCCAAAAGAATATTATAGACTTTGATATTATTTTTTTTACTGTCTCATTTGACTTTCGATAGACTATAATAAAACAGTGCGATTAAGGATTTACTCTTACTCTAGTCCTTCATTGCACACGTAGCACCTTACCTTTCCCGAATTGCCATTTTCACAAGAAAGGTGACAAAAAAGACAATTCGCTTTATTGACAGGGTCACTGTTTTGGTTTCCATGGTTACCAAGTGAAATACGACATATGAAAAAACAATTTTCATTGCTTTTCTTTCCATGGCTGTTTAGATTTTTCAAACAAATCACCAAGTGTATGTATACCTAATAACTAAACACTTAAACCCTAGGCCAAGGGATCATGAGGCAGTTTTTAGCACAAGCGTAGCGAGAACTGGAATTCATTGAGATAGAAAGTCACTATTATCACAAAACGTATGTACCTGAGTACCTACAAGTACACAATTTTTCACACTTTTGAACATTTTTGGTCATTAACTCATTTAGCTTAGTAATAGCCATAGTTTTTGAGCGCCCCTGGTATATAAAGGAAGAGTTACGAACACCTACTGAACATTTTTAGTTAAGGAAAGATGAAATAAACAACTTTTAAAGCAATACATGCAAGTTATTTTGCTTTATGTACACTTTATATTGGTACTCAGGTTGCCTAAGGTAGTATTAGAAAACCCCTGTATATCCGAAACTAGTCATAGGATCGATTTGTACCCATGAGAACTTTTACTCAGCAGGTCGAAATATACAACATACCAATATTTGGTTAAATTCCGCGTTCAACCAAAATCCCATAAGAAGTGTGCGGGGTCCTTTGGACAAAATCCGGGTATGGATAACGTTGGACAGGGGTAATGGGAGCTTACCTGAAAATTCATACCTACGTTAAAAGATAATCGAGTTTACACACAACAATATTACAAAAAAACATAATAGAATAGGTACAGGTACAAGCTACAGGTGGGGTGTCCAATTATAACCAGACACCCTGTACTTCGCTTTATATATAAAATAAAAAATAAAAACAAAAGATTTTCTTCGAATGGAACGTCAAAAATCGAGATTTATTACAAAACAATCGGGCTCCGTTGTGATCGGGTGACATATACGTATTCTGCAGACGTACAAGGGATATCCAAGCGACTCGGCTTTTTAAGTTCAATCCGACCAATAAGACGGCTGCTAATAAATTGCCGACGTAGGTGATCCTTTTGAGTCTGCAGTTTATTACTGTTTATGGAATGTGAACATGAGACGATGTTATTATAATTAAAATAAAATCGTTCAGTCCAGAACACGACATGTGAAGCAGACCTTTGCAGAAATAGCCTATAAAAAATTAGGTATTCTCTGTCAAAAAAAATGTATCAGCTAGACCAATGTTTTTTTTTTTTCTCTCTACACAATGTTGCAGTTGGTGAGGCCTCGTCTTCTCTGTTAATTCAGCTACCGATGCTCTTCTACCTGTCACTGTAAATTTACGTCTTGATTCTGATATGAAAACCAACTACACGCATCTCACCTCGACGCCTATAGTATAACCCCAAGTTCCAGGCCGATCTTAGCCGAACATTACGGATCCTGTGGCATTTTATTATCTCATTATTTATTATTAGAATGTTGTTTGTGTGCTGCTTCGAACAACGCAAACAAACAAACCTTGTATTTTAGGTAGCTCTGTTATTATTATTTCGAAAGGAAATGCTCCGGACACCAGGGCCGTGGCGTCATCTATTATAACTGAGTTATAGGAGTGACATTTTATCATTTTGACAGTTAGTAAATAAACAATTAAAAATAAAACAAAGTCCTAAATTATAGTTGTGAAAGGTGATATTGTAGTCGCTTGAAGATAAAATATTGTATGCCATTCGGCCCAGAACGTTGTGCTTCGCTCGATTGTACGTCGAGCCGGCTCAGCACAAAAAGACCCACTTCTTGGTCTAATGACATAAATAACTATTAGAAAATAGTTCCCGATCCACCAATCCACATCACCAGCTTCGTTATCTACAAGCGGAGACCCTCCAGGCGTCGATATCCTACCGTTGTTCTGATGAACAACCACAACCATTACCCAATTAACACTCTCTCATATAGAAAGTTCAGACAAATTCCTTGTTTGGTGTCTTTTATTGAAACGCTTAGCTAATATCTCCTTTGCCTCCTCTTTATCTAGTATATTTTCAGTATAAACTGTTTCATTGAGTATGCTGGACAAAATTGGCAAAATGGTAAATATATGAGACCTTAACTGGCTTAACTTTCGATTCATAATAGTGGTTCAGATGGGCTCAGTCCATATACATGCAAGAGGTGTTGTGTGATAAGCTAGCAAAGCTGAATCCAAGTCTTTGGAGTTTTTCTCTGGCCACTTTTACAGCTGACTACTTCTCTGTTAGAAGCAGGATAGTGGGGATTAGGTACTTACTAGTAATTTAAAAAAAAAAAACATATTTTACAGCTTGGTGGATGACACAGAATGACATCAGCTTTGAAGTGTGTCATCTCAACTAATAATTATTGTCAGTTCTCGAATTTATCACATTAGAGTTTCAAGAGAAGAGTATTCTGAACTTTATTTGAAGTGACCTAACGCAGGAACTGCGTGGTGCCAACGAAAGGTATAAACAAGATTTGGCAGAGACGAAATTCGAGAAGTGACAATAATCATTATAAGTTCAGATGACACACTTCAAAGCTGATGTCATTCTGTGTCATCCACCCAGCTCCTTTACCTGGCAGAGTAAGATGTGAGTTAATTTTAAAAAAAAACAAGAACCAGAGCCCCAACGCCGGACTAGTTTTTTTTTCTAATGTCTCTAACGTTTAGTAGTTTTATTAGTTAGTCATGTTTTACTTATATATAATTTTTTAAAAAGGTACCTATCTAAAGTTTTTTTTTGAAAACATCCTTTATTTATTACTTCATTTTTTATAAACACAATTAAATAATTCTCTAATCAGTGCTTCAAGCTCTGGCCTCGAGAATACTACAATTAAAACTACCTATACAGTGCTGGACGGATTGTATACTATACTATTGTATTTCATAATTCTATAATATATCTAAATTTAATTTTATTTGCTTTACAAATAGCTTATGATTTTTTATATTCCTAATATTTTCTGGTACTTGATTGTAAACTTTACTTGCTTGTGCTACTGAATTACTTAAACCTATATTTGTTCTTACAGCTAACTGATAAATATTTTCTTATGATCTAGTATCATAACTATGGACATTATTTGACAATACAATATTTTTATTAGAGTTTTGTGTTCTATCAATGATCCTGTATATAAGTTTAATTTAATTTGTTCCACTTCCAATATTTTATCAAGCATTGGAGTCTTCAATTCTCTATATAAAGTTTCTGTACTGGCCACTTGGCCAGTCTATCATATTTGAACAGCACTTTCAGAACTTTGTTTTGTACCTTAAAATAGCACTGTAGCTTGGTAAGTTTCATGACTTTTTATTGTTACATATGGCCGGTGGTGATATTTACAATAATCGTTGTTCCAAATTTGAAAAAAAAAGCATCACAAAGGACATTTTGACATGAAGTAGGTCTCACGTTTTACGGTAAAATGAAAATTAACGCTCATTAAAATCGCTCGCTGTAAATTTTATGGGTGTTCAAATAAGTTTGATGACAAAATTAAAAAAAAAAAAAAATGTTCAGCTTAGTTTCGTTGAATTTAAGGTTTTTGAAAAATTGTAAAGGGTGAAACTTTCCGCATCTGCGCTTCTCTTGAATATTTCTTAAGATTCGTAGGATCGATTTCATCCCACCGATATCGGATTTTCAACTCAACGTGGCAACTGTAGAAAGGAAGAGGGCCAGACAAGATAACCGAATTATACGTGCGAGTATAGGATTTCTGTCTTGTGCTGCCTCTCGTGTAAATTACAACAACTTTGTAAATGCGAGGACGTCACGATTGTCAATGGAAATGAAATGAAAAAAAAAAAAATCCACCAGTTTGTGTTTTGTTGAGATGTGTGATGTGTGTTGTTTCGCGGTTTAGTTTGTCCATCGGAATACGCACATGTGATCCTAAAAATTTCGTAAACATTTTGTGTTCTCAAATTTGACTAATTCTACGATGATTTTTGTGATATTGAAACGGTGAGTTTTAAGAAAAACATTATTTAATACAGTGACAATTAACTTAACCTAGTTGTACATACTAGATTTATAAAAAAAAAGTACTGGAGGAAGTAAGTGATGCTCCTGAGCTAAGATTCTGTTCATCTCACGGTTTTTCTCAGGAAATATTATTTCAATTTAAGACAAATCGCCGCTATAGGCAATTTTTTGTAACAAAAATCATAATATCTAGTGATAAATTTATTTATTTTGATTTTTGAAACAGAAGTACCACCTTTAAACTAATCTTTGATTTTTAAAACAAAACTAGCACCTCAAACAGGTAAATTCAGAATAACTACTGTACAAAAGACTAAAAACTTGTCTACCTGAGGTTTTTGTTGTTAACTACTTGTCCCATAACTTTAAAGGTAGTTTTCCAGGTACCAAGATTTGAAGTTAAAAAGTTTTGGTTCACGTCATCAAAAATTAGGACAATAATAAAATTATTACCTGTAGGTATGTAAGTATCTTGTTTTAAATAACCAAACATACCATTTTAATTGTTTTATTTTTGCTATAAGCACGATAATTAATTGAAATGTAGCTTTAGGGATGCAATTGATGTTTTTAAATAAATACTTTACCCATCATTAAATATTGGTTTCTGCGTTTATTAAATATAGGTTTCTGCGTTTTCTGAAAAAAAAAAACACCTTTGTTGTCTCTCCTTATAATCACAATCATCAATAAAATATGGAAATCCACATGGTAATTTCACATTGAGGTACTGAAAAGTACCTACCTACCTATTAGTACCCTATTAGTTGATATCATTTTTATCTTTGAGGGATTATTGTGACAAATTAAGTAATAAAATACGTGTGGTGTGCTACTTACCTACTTAAATGTGTAATTAAGCAAAATAAAACCTAATCATGCTTAATTTGTGAGAACCTAAACACTCCAAAATAAAAATTGTTTATCCTTGTCTCTTGTCTCGATTCTTGTTGTCAATTTTGCAGCTTTAAGCATGAGTTAATTAGAATTCAATGTCAATGATCCAATAAAGGAAATAGTTCCTAGTTGGACGATTGCAAATTCACCAGTTTTCTTGTATAAAAAGTGGTTGTCTGCGTCAACAGCTAGCATCTCCACATGAAAACTTAACCACGTCGGAATTTTTGGGCTTTTAAATTTCAAAAAAAAAATCTTGAAAAGAAACAAAAAATTACGTCTTACTTTAGTTAAAATCCTCCTCATTTTTGGGAGAACAACTCCCAAGTTTTTTTGTTTTTTGTTAACAAGTCTTTATTAAACCAACAAACTGATAGTTTACAGAGGTTTCTCCTATGACTGAAATTAAACTTGGAAGTTGTAAATAATTACTTAATATTGAATAAGAAAAAAAAACAGTGGTTTGCACCTAAATATTCCGGTATAAGAATCACTCTTATAACTAAATAACAATACATGATTTTTTATTTTGTTTTCAAATCCTTTTGCATTACGGCTTTTTAGATTAAACGGTAGGTTGTTGTAAATTTTTACTCCTTTAAAAAAAATAGAATTGACGCCAAAGTTGTTTTTGGGTCTTATAACTTCCAGATTCTTGCAATGTCTGGCGTTGTGGGCATGCACATTAATTCGTTTGTTGAATTTTGTTGTGGTGTGTTTATCAGAGTTTACAATTTGGTGAATAAATGTACATATCTGAGTTTTAAAAATATCTGCTAAAGATTTTATTTTATATATTTTTTTCCAGCTGCAAAGTGATGAAAGTATGAGGAGAGAATAAATGTTTTTATTTGCTTTTCTTTGTGGAGAGTGATTAAGGCTTGTATTATCTTTTTCTTACTTGGAAAGTTTGCAAAACCACTCAGAAATGTTCAATACTTAAGTATTCCAAAAATCAAAGTACAAACATTCGGAAATTCATTTTTTCAAGCCATCCCTTAGTATTACAACCCACCCTATGTGGGCCAAACACATAATTATAGCCTTGCTAATAATAATAATCTTATTAAGAACAACATGTTGATTTTTGAACTTGTCTCTAACTCTTTTCTGGAAAAAAAAATCATGTATTTTACCTAACTTGAATAATAAAGTCAAACAGAGCCTCTTATAGTCTATTAAATTCTCTATCAAATCTCCTAATTTATAACCCTACAATGTGATAGAAAAAAAATAGACATTTTTAGTTTGAGAATAAGGCATTGAGAAAAACAGTTAATTTCAAAAGTATTGAAACAATATCCTCAGATTTCATAGAGCATTTTGTTGTACATATTTAGAATTTTTTTTCCAGAAAAAATCACCACCCAATTTACAGAGTGGTTGATAGAGTGCCTAAAAGTCGTAATTCAAAAAAATATAATTACACCCAATACTTAGTTCCTAATATTCTCTGTAAGTACAGGTAAAATGTAACAGAATGCAACTTTGTTAAGTAATAATATTTCTGCACTTCATTCATGGGTCATTTTTTTTGTCTTCTAGAAGCCCTATTTGAAATTTCACTCGGAATTTCCATTAGAAAGTCCATAATTTTTCAAAAACACTTGCGTTTGAGATTCGATACAGCATTTTGTTGATTTTCAAAGGGTTTCTAGGTAGTGCCATAAAAAAGGAGATGGACAATCTCCGGGCAAATGAAACAAAAATTGGCAGAATAGAATCACGGGTTCACTAAAAAACTCTCTTCACCAACCAAAACAACTTTTACTTACACTTATCGCTTTTACATAACTTTCGAAAACAATTGACTGACATAAAACTACACGTTTTATATACAGAAACATTCAATCGAGAAATTTCTAGATTGCTTGTTCATTTAAATCACACAATGGAATTTCTGGACTGTTTATTCTAGTGATAAGCATTCATTTTGGTCCAGATGCACAGCCTTCTCTTCCTATACTCCACCAGATCTATGATGATTTTATCTATGTATTATTCTTTACTCCTCTACTACCAGAATTTCTATGCCCTTTAACAATTTTGATAACCATGTCTTTGGGAATAATGTCCTCTGGATATGTATGTTCTTCGTCATACTCGTAATACTTATCATTCGTTTATTTCTATGCCTGTCAAATTATGAATGCCTCCCTGTTCATCCGAGTCTCATACAGATTAAAAAAAGGTGGCAAGAGACCGCAAAATCACAAGTTCACAAGACGGCAGACGTAATAAAATTGTATATGCCTGCAAATATATTATATTCCCTTATCTATCTTGACTTGACCAGTTTGTCACTGAGGTTCAATTCAAATTTAAATACATATTATGCAGTAGCAAAGTTTGCAGTAGTCAGCATTTAGAAAATGTGTCTTTCAGAATACAATTACTCATGACATCATTTTTATATTAGTTATTTTTTGGGGTGCGTATAGTAATATATACTTAATTTATCTGATAAAAGTCTATACGAAGTCACTTGGAATAGTATAAAAACTAAATCCCGACAAAGGTTGAGACACACATGACTGGACCATGTCAGGATCGAGCCGCGGACGAGAAACGCCCTTGCTCCGGCCCGGTATTCTAGAGACCACACATAACCGAGGCTCGTCAGTGTTTTGGTCGATTTCTTTGTGGTTGGTAGTCAATGATAAAAAATTTCACACAAAAATCGTCGTCCGTCACGTGAAAAATTAAACAAAACAAATTCCGTCCGGCGCGCTCACGTCCCGGTGACGTTGCTCGGACACGGCCCGGTCATGTATGGACCGATAGATTTATTTTAACGGTTAATTTCGTTCTCCGGATGACCGCTGATATTCGTCCGAGGCTCGGTCTTGATACGGTCCGGTTATGTGTGTCTAGACCTTAAAGGTCTAAACACACATGACCGGGCCGTGTCAGGACGAGCCTCGGACGAGAAACGTCCTTGCTCCGGCCCGGTCTTCTAGAGACGACACGTAACCGAGGCTCGTCAGTGTTTTGGTCGTTTTCTTTGTAGTTGGTAGTCAATAATAAAAATTTTCATACAAAAATCGTCGTCCGTCACGTGAAAACTTAAACAAAACCAACTCCGTCCGGCGCCCTCAGGTCCCGGTGACGTTGCTTGGACACGCTCATGTGTGGACCGATAGATTTATTTCAACGGTTAATTTCGTTCTCCAGATGACGGCTGATACTCGTCCGAGGCTCGGTCTTGACACGGTCTGGTCATGTGTGTCTAGACCTTAAGTCGGCTTTTTCTTTTCCAAACATAGGCGGCGTAATTTCAAAAGGCACTACTAAAATTATTAATGAATAAACTAATCGAAAAAAGTAGAGTAGGTAATGCACTGCACTGTCTCTCACACCGACAATCATGTATTGCCCCACAAAGCGGAATGAGCAGAAACAGTATGCCGCCCAATGAAAAATCGGCAATGGCCAATCAGATCTATCAAGTCCACGTTGACTGGCATCGAACGTGTACAAGGAGCTAATCAGATCTATCCATCCCTACTTGTCTGGCTTCCAACGGTACGAGGAGCAATGAGTATAAATTTTGCTATATTTTTCAATATGAGATGCAGTATATCGACCATACCACTATTTTAGGCCTGGTCCAAGTAACTTCGTATAAACCTACCTAGAAAACATATCGTTTTATTATACAATATGTTTCAAAAGTCTGGGAATGGTCAAATATTTCCAGAGCGGCTTAAAATAGAATTATAAAATTTTCCGCAGAGGAGTAATTATTGAAGCCCGATTCAATTTTAGAATCATAATTTAAGGTCGTTGTGGAAATTATTTGACCATTGCCGGACCTTTGAACAAAGAGGCTGTGTTGCCATGTTCTAGAAACCGCATAAAATCGGGATATGATAACCGGAGGATTCACTAACAATAGAGCGTCGAATTTATTGCAATAAAAATTAAGCGGTATTCCTGTTAAAAAAAAAGTTTCCTACATTTAGTAAAAAAGTTTTTTCCGGGCTATAATGCCGTGGTCCATTAGTATTTCTACCTTACGTTTCGTCTACTGCTGCGGTAGACATCTTCAGAGGCGGTGTGGTAGAAGACGAAGTGTTCTC